AAAATATGCCTGTTTAGCATAGGGGGCCATTAAAGCCTTCGGCAGATAAAACTCCATGGGCTGCCGTAGCAGGACATGAAGCCGGCTCTCACACGCTAGTTTTATTTATGCTAATTAATCCCGAGTTGTTAATTCAATCAGTCTTCCTACAAAAATACAAAAACCTCGAGGAAGTTGAAAAATTTTAGTCTTCAGAAACTGAACCCAAGAAAATCCTGAATTATTAGACGTTTTGCAACTCAGCATTTCTAATGACGTTGAATGTAAGGATAAAAATCGCAGGAAGCGCTGCTCAGTATTCAATTTAATTCACTGAAAAACTGTAACTTTATATCGAGCTCCAAAGAAATAAGATAAAATTCATTTATTCAAAAGTCACGGGGGAGGAAGAGGAGGGGATTCTAAAAAATTATCGACACGAGTATAAGTGTTAATTGGAGTTTATCGCGGAGATACACGGAGAGAAATCAGTAGCGAAGTGGTAAAACGGTACAAGTCAGTTTTGACTATTGATCAATTCAATGAATATCTTGGAACCTGAGGGAGATGACAAAATCTTTGTTATTTTTCTTTGTAGAGCCGATTGAGAGCTACAACAAACGTAATTATCACGATTGAGAGCCGATTGAGAGCTACAACAAACGTAATTATCACTTCCTGTAAAAAAAGTGAAATTTAGAATTAGAATCGTTGAATTGAAAATTAAGGCCCGGGTGGAGTATTTTTCGAACGTGATCCTCGGGGTTTTTTAAATTTTCACATAAACATTATAATAGAATGTCTCCACCGAGGAGGATCATACGGCCAATAGGAGATTGGACACTCATGTCCCCACAAAATTCAGTAGCGAAGTGGAAACGGTACAAGTCAATTTTGACTATTGACCAGTTTTCAGTGAATATCTCGGAATCTAAGGGAGATAGCTAAATTTTTGTTATAATCTTTTTTGTAGAGCTGATTGAGAGCTACAATAAATGTAATCACGAAAATTTCGCTATCTCCCTTAGATTCGGAAATATTCCTCAAAAACTCAACTGGGAGGTAAGTCGACTTAAACAGCTTTACCACTTCGCTACTGAAATATTTAATAAAAATTATGCATCTTTTCCGCAAATCCGGAGCGTAATGTGGTTGTAGGAGATTTTATGAAACTGTTACTAAATTTTTTCAGAGCGAACCCTAATTTTTACCCGAATCCCTGTGAAAAATTACGGTACCGTCCCTTAAATTTTCTGAGTCGATTGCGTAATCGGTGAGCGAACTGTGAATTCCGTAATTTTTACGGAACATTTCTCTCCGTGTGGCAGAAAAATTTCACATACGCATTATATATCGCATACGTTTACGCCCAGTCCGTAGGATTAAGATTTAATTTTTTTCCACTAACATCATCATGGTGAGGACATTTTTTCCGTACATACATTTTTCACCTTCCTATTTTTCAGTCTACTTCTCCCTCTTCGTCTAACACTCTTGTCTCTTTATCTTCCTCAGTAAAATATTCCACTTTTTTACGTCGTTGCAATTTCATGCAAAATTAAAAAACACTGACGTTTGTTCTCGGTATTTTTTTTCTCTCCTTTTTTTTTGTTGAAATATCTCACGATTTCCTGTAACCCAATGAGTCATATGTGCACGAAAGAAGCTCTTGGATTTCATCTCTGCAACGATTTTTTTAACTACTTTGATAAATCCAATCAATCGGAAAAATAAAAATGAGAGAGCGTAAAGCGGAAAAATAAGGTTGTTTTCTTATCACAACTTTTTTCCCCCTCTTTTGAAATATTTTCGTCGTAAATCAGACATTATCCGCAGTGAAACGTTTCTTTCCACGAAAAAAAAGGAAAAAAAAAGCATTGAATAAGTTGTTTTTCTGTACATTTCCGTTTGAATTCTCAGGCGCAACATTTTTTTGTTCTCTTTCTTTTAGAATTTCAAAAATCCCAATGACTCGTCTTTTTTTCCTTTTTCTAATTCTTACGTCACCGTCTACCGACTCAACGATTTCTCAGAATTTTTCGAAATTCTTTCCCTCACCGGGTTTTTGGTTTCTCATCTGCTATTGGTTGCGTCAGCAAGTGGAATTTCATTTTCTCTGGGTTTTTAATGAACCGAATAATTTGTCGCAACTGTTTCGCATATTTTTCCCCAGTCCGTTTTTTTTCCACAGTTGATTGTTCATCCCTCGTGCCTCAAATGTACGTGTGACTTATTAAACGATTGATTTTCGTCCAATCTCTCGCGTACTCCGCACGGAGAGAAATGTTCAGTAAAAATTACGGAACTCTCACTGCACTCACCGATTACGGAATCGACTCAGAAAATTTAAGTGACGGCATCGTAATTTTTCACAAGAGATTCAGATAAAAATTACGGAACGCTCCGGAAAAATTCCGTGACAGTTCCGTAAAATTTCCTACAACCACATTTCGCTCCGGAATTACGGAAAAGATACGTAATTTTTATTGAATATTTCTCTCCGTGCGATGCTCCATAATTCAAGCGGAATAGAGGGAAAATTATTTCGTTAAAAGTTTGAAGTTGAATGAAATTTTGAATGTCCAGTCGGTTGTGCTATTTCTCCTCGTTTTTTCGATCGGAAACTTTGGAAAGAATGCCAATAGCACATAGTTGAAGTCCTGGCCAGCTTTTGGAATCAATTTCAAAACTCATCTTTGGACGTTTCATCCAATATCGTCAGATATTTTCCTTTTATGCCGTCGTCCTTTTTTCTCATTCTTTGAAGTTTTCTCTCAAACTTCAATGCCTGTCACTCGCATTTACCTCATTCATCCATTCGACAGAACCAATCATCGATAGAGAGAGAAAATTTGAATCGTAATTATGGAGGAAAACTCACAAAGCAAATCCCACAGACTGAATGGAAAAATGGAAAATGTCAAAATCCTTCCGCAAATTGAAGAATTCATTCTAACAAAATTAAACCGAAAATCTGACTTCTGCATTTCAAACTTTCACCTCTCCCTTGTAATTCCCCGCAATCCATTGCTTTCGGATTGCCGCTCACGTTACCACGCGAAGCGCTAAATCAAAGGGAAAAGAACAAAGCGCTGAAGTGCATAAAAAAAGTACTTCCCGAAAAAAGAAGCGAAATAAAAAAAAACATAAAATATGAGTATAGATGAGAAAAAAGAAGAAGCGCAGGAAAGCATATTCATTATTTTCGTCTTCGTGAAAGGACGTTGGAAAAAGTAACTACAGAAGTTGAAAAAAAAGGATATTAAAAACTGATGGAAAAAAAAAATCGTGTAAGGAAAAAGAAGAACTGATGAAAAACGAAGTACGAACGAACGCGCAGCAAGCGTTAATTAATTCTGCGCCTGAAGGGACATACGTGAGTAGCAATTCTCCCTGTATGGTGCGTCGAGAGTGACTCATTCACGATAAGGAATTAAATCATAAATACGACCATGGAAATGGCAAAAAAACAGAATTTCGAATGATTTTTATTTCATTTTTTCCTTTCGATGATTCAGAGGATTGAATCATTCCAGTTGAGAGTCATGGAACTCAATAAAATTGAAATCTGTAACATTGACTTGACAATTGAGGATAAAATGCAATTTATCATTGGGTATTCTCGAAAAATTCCGATCAGAAAAATCCATCGGGTGAATTTTGAATAATTTTTATTTCATTTTTCCTCTCGATGATTCAGACGATTGAATCGCTCCAGTTGGGAGTCCTGGAACTCACTAACATTGAAATATATAACATTGACTTGACAATTGGATATAAAATGCAATTTATTATTGAGTATTTTCGAAAAATTCCGATCAGAAAAATCCGTCCGGTGAATTTCGAATAATTTTTATTTCATTTTTCCTTTCGATGATTCAGACGATTGCATCACTCCAGTTGGGAGTCCTGGAACTCACTAACATTGAAATATATATTAACATTGACTTGACACTTGGAGATAAAATGCAATTTATCATGGAGTATTTTCGAAAAATTCCGATCAGAAAAATCCATCGGGCGATTTTCGCCTCAATATCCTTTTTTTACGTCTCTCGTGCAATTCACCTCCCCTCAATCCTCCCACTCCCCGTCGTCGTATATATATATATATATATATGTATATATATAAGATGGATCGCCGTTATACGGGAGATATATAGAGTTTATTACCGGGAAGACATCGTGGAGGAAAAGAAAAAGGAGAAGTGAAAAAAGAAGCCAAAGGGTGGGGATAGAAAGAAGTAGATGGAAAAATTGTGCGCCTTGCCCAAGGCAGACTCGGAATGTTTCGATATGAAGCGGGGAGTATAATTTCAATTTTTACCCCTCCCCCCCTCTCCACTCCCCTCCCCTTTATCCACTCATTCCAACCTTTTTTTATTGCTGTATTTCACCATAAAAGAGTCCGTGGATATAATAAAGAGATATATAGAGGTAGTCTAGGAGGTGGGAGGGGGGGGGGGAAGGGGGTGCTGAAGGCACTGCGAAGTTGACGGCCAGCAGGCGGCTTTTGCCCAAGCGCTTTCCTTTACGGCCTTATTTGCGGACGGCGTAAAATTCAAGGAAAATCAATACGGACTTCACTTGCCCATTAAATATTCAGGCTATTGACTGGCTGTCGTAGTTTGGGCGGGGCTCTGAGATAGACACATTTTTTTTTTCAACTCCCAACTCCCCCTTTTTTAAAATCACCCTTCTTCGTGTTTTTACGCCCCTGCAATTTTTTTGCCTCTCTCTTCATGAGATTTTATTAAATTCACATTCACCATTTCGATGGAATGAATTGGGGATGATTGTTTTCTCGGGGGTTTTAGATTCGAGTTGAGATCAGAATTCTCTCCTCTGAGGGTAGAGAAGCTGAGACTACCCTTGGGGGTGAAAGAATTTTTAATGCTGATGAAATAATTTCATCAAGTTCTCCCATAAAACTTTTTCCTCTGGCTTTCCATCCAAAACAAAACGAGATAAATTCACTTCAGCAAATAAAAAGCACTTAATACTCTGAATTTTCCTTTCAGGTTGTCCTGAGTGCGTGTAGCACATACTTCGACACAATATTGTCGCAGTACGAGGAGAAGGATCCAATAGTAATAATGCGTGACGTCAAATTCTCAGACATCAAAGTACTCGTTGAATTCATGTACAAGGGGGAGATCAATATCGATCACGTGAGTTATTTCTATTTACTCTCTCACATTTGCAATTTTTATTTTCACTCATTCTCACTTTATGCTGTGTACGTGATGGAAGAATTAATCATGAGCATTGGAGAATGTAATTTTTCGGTTTCTTTATTTCCACATCAAGAAAATCAGAAAAATACGATTTCTTCTTCGATTCTAGTGCAATTCACTCGGCTAAAATATTCAATAATCTGCGTTTACGAAGTCAATTTCCTGTGAAGTGGGACAAACCTGCATGAATAGCGCGATTTAAAAAAAAATGGTCATGAGCCAGTAAATAACAGAACAATTCACAATTTAATGAAAAATAAAAATTCTCTTTGCCACTGGTTTTCCATTAAACGAAAGCGGAATTCTTTTCAAATATATATTTATTCAACACTGGAATCGTTTCAAGGCCCTGACCCACATTCGATTTTTTTTTCTACTTCCTCCTATTTATTCATCTTTTTCCCCTGTTATTTTCAATGCACAGCGGTAGAAAGCTGCATAGAAAGTCCCCCACTCTCCTAATTTCAACTATTTCAACTCGATATTGCCGGTTGGATATATTAACCGACAATAATTGGATTCATTGTTCATCCTATCGCCTTCACCTCGCTCCTACTCGTTTTTTCATTTCAATTTTTTGTCATTCCGCATTTATTCCTCTCCATTTTTTGACACTCGAACAACAAACAATTGGATATTTAATAGAATACAATTGAGGCAATCTCGCATTTGGAATATCATTAAACGGTGAAAGTTGGAGAATTATTTCAATTTCAAGATTGAAAATTCATGATTGACACAATTATACATTGACACACTTATTCATGATATAATTGAAGACGAGATGTTCGGATTTGAAAATACACTGTTCGAAAATTACTCATGACATTTCAGGTAATAATTTAATTGAATCTTGAATTGAATTCAACTTCACAAGAAATTCCAACAATGTACGGTAAATGTACCTATGCTCGTTCAGATGCTGCCAGCTATCACATTTTACTCATTTTGATAGTCCCAAGAATCTATTAAGACTGAAGTACGATTGGAGTTATTATTTTAGTCAATAAGAAAAGTTACAGACACCAATGCAGAGTTATTTATTGAATAATACGAGAGAAAAATCCCATTCACATCAACTCGCGCTGTGACAGAGTCAGTTCTTAAGCCACAAGTTAAGAAACTCACAATTTTAAAACGTTGATATCTCCGTTACAATAGTAAAATGGGATTAAAAATCCCTTGACTAAGGTTTCGAATAGTTAAAAATTTAATAAAAATGCATAAATCATAGTAACATCCGGATATTTCACTGGAATACCGCCAATTAAAAGAATAGGTACAATGAAAATGGCATTGATCTGGCAACTGGTAACGGACTAAACGGATGAAAAAATCATTTAAAAGGTAGGACTGTCCAGTGGAAATATAATTTTGTGCCTCGAGATATTTTTCAACGTTGTTTTATCGCAAAATAGGCTACTCGCGATGTAATTAGTTCAGATATAACCTTTCCATATCACTCAAATCACGAGACGAGGATAGGGACATGTGTCAAACGAGCATGGGGACATGGGACTTTTCCCATTCATGGACGATTATTTATTAAAAAATGGTAACTATCACAATTAATATAAATAAATTCCAATTCTGAAGGTTTTATCCTCTGATACGTAATTCAAATCACCGCATCTTGACGCTCATTTCGATAGAAATATTGGACTAACGATGCGTTCACCTCAGCTAGACGAGCCTAGGGCCATTTACCTTATTGGTATTTTTGGGAATGATTCCAGACAAGACTGTCATCTCTGCTGAAAACTGCAGAGGATTTACACATAAAAGGATTGGCGGAGGTGAGCTGGCGAAGTGATTCAACCCAGAATGAGCTGAATAACAGTGGGCACAGTCCGGGAGCTGGAACTCCCGGTGTTGAGACAGTGCTGAGGGAAGGTGACGCTGACGAACCACCCCCTCCAAAACAAAAACGCCGGGGCAGACCACCCCTCGACGATCCACCATCAGCCCACGACGTATTCACACCTAAAGTTACATGCATCACTGGAAACGTACGAACATTTCCCGTAAGCCCCATTAACCCTCCAACGCGGAATATCCTGTTTAGTCCCAGTGAGAACGTGTTGAGGGATGTTGAAATCCATTCTACGGCGCCAACCGGAAGAAAGCTCATTTACGTTGGGAGATTAACGAAACATTTGGATGATGAAAACAGTGAAGAAAATGGGGGAATATATTGCACTAAGGGAAAATTTCATGCGAACATTCTGAAATTAACCACAACTCATTTATGTGAAACTTCACGGGATTTTTAGAGGCAACTATTGGCTGGAATTTGAATTTCATCTAAAATTCAATCGGATAAAAACGTTAATTTGAAACTTGTGCACTTGTTAGACATGAGCAACTCCAATTTCCTGGAATGTTCAACCTCTAAATGATTGAATCATTTGGAATCATTTGGATGGAGAAATTACTGAAGAGAATAGGGAGTTGGGAGAATATATTGCACTGATGGGAAATTTCGTGTGAACATTCTTGAGATATTTAAGAACAATCAATTTATATCAGTGGCGAAGTGGTAAAACGGTTTGAGTCGACTTATCTCCCAGTTGAGGTTTTCAGGAATATTTCGGGCTCTAACGGAGATAGCGAAATTCTCGTCATTACATTTTTGTGGCTCTCAGTCGGCTCTACAAAAAAAGTTATAACAAAAATTTTGCTATATCCCTTGGTTTCCGAGATATTAATTGAAAACTGGTTAATAGTCAAAACTGACTTGTACCGTTTTACCACTTCGCTAGTCATATGGAAATTCAATAAAGTATCAATTTTTGATTGATGCGATAGTGAAAATGACGGAAATTCAATCACCCATTCCCTTCAATTTTAATTTTATCTAAAATTAAAATTCAATTCTGAAAAACGTTAATTTAAAACTTTAGCGCTTGTTAAACATGAACAACTCCAATTTCCCTAAATGTTCAACCTCATAAATCAAACATTCATGAATAATTTGATCTTGAATCCAATTTCAAGTCACAAAATTGCAAATTGGAGTGTAACTGCTATTTCAATAAATATCCAACAGTGTGGTATAAACTTTTCGTTTTTCATCGTAAATGTTTCACGATCTCGAAGAGAAGTAGGTTAATCGGTATTTTTGGAATCAATATTGGAGAGCTGGGGAAATTCCCAATTTGAAATGATATTGCTGAGTCTTTTTCGGTCCACTGACTTTTCGGTTTTTCCTTCATTGTTTCGTTCGTCAAAGAGACTTTACCTGTATATGTATCTTGAACAGCAGTAGAGAATGCCCCCCTCGTACCCACCGATGACCTCCCCAAATAGAATTTCTGGGGCTCGAAAGAATGAGAAACTTCAATGAAATATGTTTTTAATCCAGGAGGAAATGATGAGTGAGGGCGATCACGAGAGCTGGGACGACGAGATGATGATGAACGAGAACAATGAGCCTCCGCTGCCAGTGGTAAATTCCCACTTCCTAAATAGCTCATGATATTTTAATCCCTGTCCCCCTTCAATAATTGATTATTAAATTTTCAGTTGTCCTACTTATCCAAGGAAGACGTCAACTCAGACCAAGAAAAAAAACGTAAGTGACCTCGTTCAATCTCGGATTATTCCTGTTACACACTAAAGAAAAAAAGCTCACAGATTTAACAATTCGTTTGTTAAAAATTCCGTTACAAAAGGGAAAATTTATCATTAGTCTCGCATTTTTGTCTTGATTTCAGAGCCCGGGTGGATTATCTTTCGAAAGTTAATTCGATTGTTTTTCCATCTTTATAATGTAAAATATATCACAATGTCCATTGGATTTTACATCACGCAGAAAGAAGTCTCTAAAAATTATGATTGTAAAATAAACAAAAAGTAGGAAAAAAACTGAACATTTTCAAAGAGCGTTTTTAATAAAGATTAAGAAATAAGTCCGATAGAGAGGAAATAGTGAATGGATAATTTGTCATAGTAACTAACGATCTGACAGCCAATAGATACATCAAATTATTGATTTTCAAAATGTTCAGCTTCTTTTCAACGTTTTTTTCATTATACAATCACAATTTTTGGAGACTCCAGGACTACGTAAAACTGAATGACAATTGGAGATCATTTCAGACAATCAAAATAAAAAAAACCACCAAGATCACGTTCGAAAGATAATCCCCCGGGCCCTCAAATAAAAATTGTTATGTAATTTTAGCGTGAACTTTGTTCTCCATCTAAAATTTCTACTCTTATGTCCAGAATCTGCAGCTCCCAGCACTCCGTCAAACTCAAATGCAACGAACCCAGCGATTCCCGAACAATTCCGTGATGTTGTAAAAATGAACGACTACCTAACAACAGGCAGACGACAGGAATTCTGGGAGGAGCCATTCACGAGACGCGTTATGGATGCTATCAAAAGTAAAGAACTTGAGATGAAGACTGCCGCTGAGATACTTGGTGTATCCTATGGAACACTCTACGGAAGATACCGTGACAGTTATGGTTGCCTTAAACACCCTTACAGGTATGTAAAAAAAGCACTGCTCATTCCTCAAGCCCTCATGACTCTATGATTGAGTGGAATGACAACTGATGACTGTTTGTGAATCCAACGAGTTGACAGAATGCGTCAATCATTAATAAGACAATGAAAGTTATTAATTTGACACATTTTGGGTAAAATTCTACTCAATCATAAACACTTTAAGGATAATATATCAACGTAAGAATAATGTTCAGCCTGAACTACATGTTTCTAGAGTCCGAGACTTTTGGTCAGAACCAGGACCTGCTGAAGTCCTATCAAAGCTTCGAAGGAAAGAAATAACCCTATTCCGGGCAGCCGAATTTCTCAATGTCACCGTCCACACGCTTGCGACGTATCTATCAACGTTACAAGGCCCCGACAGAATTTCATTGGCCGGTGAATTGAGTGCTGCGAGCCCTCTAGATGGCAACGACGGAGATCCCACTAATGACTCAGTTAATGAAATATTGCAAAAGTTGAATGCTGCGGGGGCAACAGCTACGATACCAACAACATCAGCATCGATAAAGAGAGAGGGAGGGGGTTACATTGAACTAGCAAGTACAATACCAAAAGCAGCGAGTTCAGTGCTCGAAAATAATCCAGACATAACCATTGTCAAGACAGAGAGTATTCAGCGCAAGAGGGAATACTCGAAAGTGTCAAATACGGAGAATAATAATGCTAAATTAATGAGTGGAGGGGCGGTCAGTGAATTGCAACAGAAAATAACAGATCCATTGTCGTTAAACAATGATCATAATAAACCATAACTGTTCAGGCCTTATTTGACACCGAATATTCCTAGATTTGTACAAAATCATGGCTACAGGAGGGAGCTCTGCCCTAGGAGATTTTATTCAAATTTGTTCAGTAGATTTCTCACAAATTTTCAGTTGAAATAAGTTCGTTTTTTAAACTTTAGGAAATCGAAGATGAACTCTCGGTTATTTCATGACTCTGTGGAAAATTAAGACAATGAGGGAACTTTCCCCTCTATCACTTTTTGCGAAACTCAATTTTCAGTTGACTATTGGAAATTTGTGGGATAATCTCACGGGAGAAGTGCAGATAAAGTCGCGACATTCACTTTGAAGTTGAGAATTATTCTGTTGACTGTCTTCTAACAACTATTCAATGTGAATAAAATACAATGTGTGACAATATCTTCAACTCTAGGGCAGAGATGGTACAGCAGTTGTTGAGATATTCATTCCTTTTCCTATGATTTTTGTTTCATCATTTACAGTAGAGAGAGAGGTATCTGTTGGTTTTTTGGATGTCATCCTTACATTTGACATTTTTATTTCAATTGTTTGGAGTGACATTTATAGACGAGTGTCGAGCCTTTTTCAATTTTTATATCCAATACATTTGAGTTTTCAAGCAATTTATTTTGACAAACTCCAAGTGAAACATCCGAAAATATCCACGACCTTGAAATCAGCAGAAGTTTCATCTCTTTCGTGCAATGAAAAATGAAAACATTTTATGACAAGAGAATGCATACTCCCGAGCGATTGATTACACCAGGAAAAATGCAATGCAACGGAAAAGTTGATGACTTGAGCGAACACTAACTAATAACGGAAATTTAATAACTGGTTTTTTTTTCGTCTAAAAAACGGAATTCGAGATGGACTGACGTACGATATAGAGAAAAAAATGAATATAAATAATAAATAAATAAATGGACGAATGGAGGAGCAAATGAAGATACATGCATAGCGAGTAAATAAATATTTAACATACTATTGCCTATGTGAGCGTCTAGAAAACGATAAATGAAGAATTATATTTTTTTCTCTTTTTATATAAACAAAAACATTGGTATAGAAATAAAATATGCACTCGTAGATGTTTTAGAGACGTTAATAGATGTTACATTTAGTGCGAGCTTTTTTATAAAAATTTTAAGTGAACTTTTTTTTTTATTTAAGAAATATTGAATATAATTTAATCGATTGGAAAACATTACTTGATTGTATATCAAAGACGTTTCGTTAATTATATTGAATATTAATTATTATTAACTATTCTTTGAGACAAAAATAAATCATAAACGTCCATGTGTAAATATCGGTGCAATAGAGATTTCTAGAGGATGAATTTATATCATTTGTCAGAACTAAGTGGCTTTTTTTTTACGAGAATGAAAATTAAATCATCATATGCCTGAATATGGAGAATTATTCGTATTTGGATTAGTTTTGTGAGTATTTTGGAAACTTGTTCAAGTGGAATTGGAAATATTTTTATTGGAAAATGGACCCGCAGATTTGCACTCTAAGTCTCGAGGATTTATTTATCAATGGGAAGGTCTCCTGCCATCAATTTTAACAGCAGTTTAAAAATTTCCATTTGTCCAAATCCCCAAACTATTCATGCAAATAATCATAAGGATAATGTCTACTCAATCCCTGCTTCATCATTATGAATAATATAAAAGACATATTCAGGTCAACGGATTGCTTCTTATGCTTATTAACACCTTATGACGATTGTTTTTTTTTTCAATTATACAAATCATTTGTTCTTTTCTCGAGCTAGACACAAAATTGTGAGGCAAGAGTGAATAATTGAATGTGAAGAAGAAATAAAATATTGAAATTTCCCTAAATGAAAAAATAATAATGACTGGATAAACCGAGTATTCCTGTTTGCTGATTGTAAAATTAAGTAAGAATTTAAGAATTATAAATAATAGGTATTTTTCATTGAATATTTTTCGATGATAAACAACAAAAAAATAAATAAGACTTAGTTCCCTTCGAGTTCATCATGCCTGGACACTTGTGGAGGAGTTTGAATAATTTTTTTTCTCTGTTTCCAAAAATGCGCAAATGAATATTCTTTTGCATTATATTCTTTTGCATTTCTTGTGATATGTATATACCATGTATTTATTCTTCTTGGATTAGCTGTTTTTCGAGAGTGAAATTCTCCAATTCATTTATATGAGGAGACGAGTTTTGTTTTATCACCTGATGGAGCTAAACCGACGCGTACAAAGTTCATTTCAAATTCAGTTTCGATCATCAACAGAAAAAGAAAAATAAAGTAGTTTTAAAAGAAGAGAGTAAGTATGTTCTCAAAGACTGCAAAATAAACTAAATTCACGCATAGAAAAAAAAACCCGAAATAGACAACAAAATTCACGAGACTCTGTTCCTTTGCTCGCTCTCTCCCCCCCCCCCCCCC